TTGTTTCTAATTAATGGCCAATCACAGTCCGGCTGTCCCGGACTCTCTGGTCAGTCACAAGATTTTATTATCATTCCTTTCTATTCCTTGCAAACCTTCTGATGAAATCTTTTCTTAGAATTGTTTTAATATAATATATATCATAAAATAATAAATCAGCCTTCTGAAATACTTTCTTCTATTCTTTTAGTATAATATAATATATATATTATATTACACTAAAAGAATAGAAAAATATAATATATATATTATATATATAATATATATGATATATATAATATATATTGATATATATTATATTGAAATAATGATATATTATATATATCATATGTTTAATATTATATATATGATATATATATCATTATTTCAATATAATATATATATCAATATAATATATATCATTAAAATATAATATAACATAATATAATATGATATATATTTAAATAATAAATCAATATATAATATATATATTATATAAAATATATATATCATTAAATAATAAATCAGCCTTATGAAATCCTTTCTTCTATTCTTTTAGTATTGTGTTAGTATAATATATATATATATATATATATATAAAATAAAATAATTAATCAGCCTTCTGAAACATGGAGTCAATATTCTCATCTTTTCCCTCTTCCTGGGACTCCTGTGATCACCCCCACAATTAAACCCACAGCCATCCCAGACCAATTACAACACCCAAAAGTCTCAGCTCCCTGTTGGAAAAGTTTGAACTGAAATTGCTCAGGGCTGAGCTGAGTGAGCCCAATTTCCCTCTCAGCCTGATGTGACTCCATTAAAGTGAGACGGGAAATTCCCTGGTGGATGAGGAACTTTCTGCCTCTGCATCCTGCCTGCCCTCAGGCAGCGTTTTGTTGGCTGAGGAGCGTTGTCAGAAGGTGATAAAATCAGGGATGGCATCATCTTGTCTTGTGCTGGAGCCCTCCTGGTCCAGAGAGCAAAGATCCCCATTTCCAGCAGATGGAAATTGCTTAAAACACTAAATAATTCAAAGAGGGCTTGCGCAGGTAGAGGCATCATCTTTTCCCTGAGTTCTCTGGGGAAGGAGCCACCTCTCACCTGAGCTATTATCCGAGCTGCACGGGAGGATGAAGTGGAGGGGAAAAAAGCAGGAATGTGCCTGTAATAGTGTAAATATTCTTTTCTTCTTCCAGTGCAGTGCATTACGGGCCCGGAGCAGAGTCACAGAGCAGCAGAAAAATGACAAAGCCACCTCCTCTCCTTCCTCAGCTTCAGCTCAGCCAGCACCTGGAAATTCCATGCAGAGGGTTTTGGGATGGAGAAAAGATGCAGATTGGTCCAGGGCTGGCAAAAAGAGATGTGATTTGGAACAGTGCCAGGGTGGCATCTCTTCTGTGTCCCCATTTCAGCTCCAAGCATTCCTCTGTTTTATTTTATTAACCCTGAACTTCATCTGGAAACTGAGAGGAAAGGTGAATTTGTGTTTGCAAACAAGCTGTGGGGCTGCTGGGAGATAAAACCAGCACTGGGAGAGAAAAGAAACCATGGGAAGGATTCCACTGATTGATGAATGGGAAAAGAGATTTGCTTTTACAAATAAACTTTAGGTTTGCTGGTAAATTAAATTGGACATTGAGAGATGAAAGAAACAATGGGGAAGAAAAACCCGTAAATTTTGTAAGAATTAAAAATGAAAAGGGAAGGTTATACATTAGAGGGGAATCTTTGGGATCAGGTGTTCTGGCAAGTCTGAACCTCTCAAGTGCCTCAGAAATGGGGAAAAACACCTAAATTCTGTAAGAATTAAAAATTAAAAGGAAGGGTTATTAGAGGGGAATCTTTGGGATCAGGTGTTCCAGGAAGTCTGAACCTCTCAAGTACCTCAGAAATGGGGAAAGAGAGAAGGGAAATGTGGCTGGAAATTGGGATAAAAAGGGAGGCTGCACCTCCAAAAATCTGAGAGACCCCAGGGGATGCCCCATGGCCTCTGCCTTGATTGGAATAAAGTCAAAGGACTCCTCTGTCTCATTTTTGGACATAAACCTGTGGTTTTTGAGGGTTAATTTTCCTAACAAAAACTTTCTTCCCTAATTCCTGCAACTATCCCAGCCCTCCACAAACTTACTCAAACACCTACAAATTCTGTTGCACCTCAAAAAAAAAAAAAAAATCACAAAAAAAACCAATGAGGCAGAGGCAGGCTGGTGGTAGTTGGAAATAAATAGCAATTTTTTTTATATATATTTATTATAAATAGAAATAAACTTTTACTGCCTTGGAATAAAAATATGCAAAGCAGCCAAGGCAGCTTCCAGCAGCATGGGACAAAAGAGGCTTAGCAGAGCAAGAATTACACTCCAAACCCTGGGAGAGCTGGTCAAATAATGACAAAATTTATGAATTTATGCAAGTCCAAAGTCATTTGGTGCTGGATGGGGGAGGATTAAGCCCTGCTGAATAAGTTATCCTCTGCAGAATGGATTTCAGCCTGGCCACACCGCCTGGCGAATAATGGGAGGATTAATTGGCTAAAGCTTGCACATTGTATTGTTCCCCAGTTTGTCAGACACCCCTGAAGCACACAAAAAATAAGGATATTTTTTGTTGATGTTGTTGAAATAAAGTTTGCTGAAAATTCCTCCCCCAGCGCTCAGGAACCTTTGTTTTCACAAATGAACACAATAAAGCTAATCTGCATAGGGGCCTAAAATGGATTTATTAAAGTGTATTAAATCTCCAGAAGGACTATTTGTTCAGTGCACTTTAATATCCTTCAGAAATGGAAGGTGACAAGCTGACCTAAGGCTACTCTGAATCTGGATGAGAATTTAAAATGTGCTTTAATTAAAAGTTCCAGAGTAAAGATTTCTGCTTTTCCACATTATTTTTTAAAGTCTAGGGAAGTTTGTCTGCAATGTGACAGCCACAAAGCTCAGGGGAGCTGCTCTTAAATCCCTTCCATGTTTGAGAGCATCACCTTGAAGACTAAATTCATTCTTCATTATCATGGGACAAACCATTTCCTTGGAATCTGCTCAGGATTTGGTGCAAAAATGAGCCCTCAAATTTTAGACAAAATTTTCTGCTGCCTCTAGAAACTGAGGAGGAAACAATTTTCTTGGGGAAAAAAAAAAAGCAAACTCTGGCTCTGAAGCCAGCACAGGAAATGGGAAAAACTGAAGAGCGATTGATCCTCTCCTCACATGGAGCTGCCATAAGGAGCTGTCAGGGTTTTTATATAACTTTCCTTGAAAAGCTTGTATTTAAATGAGCAAGAAGGCAAAAGCAGAGAGAACAGAAGGCAAATTCCCTTCGTTTTAAAGAAGGGGCACAGCTGAGATCCTCATCTAACCCTGATCTCTGCCACTCACCCCCCTTATCTCCTGTTTTATCTAGGGAGACAACACAGCTGCTGGGATGCTTCATGGTGGGCAGAATAAATTAAAAAACTTCTAAAAAACCCATTATTTTCACAGCATTATTTTTCATCTTCATCAGTAACCTTATTATTCCATCTATCAGCCAAACCAGATCCTGAACCGCCACTTAAAGCAGAATTTCAGCCTTTCCTGATGCTCCCAAACCAGAGATTTCCTGCACTTTTTAACAGGATTGTTCAGTGCCTGACAGTGAGCCCTGATTGGAAGGTAATTTAATCAATAGTCAGGTCTCCAGCAGCCTCTACAGCAAGTTATGGTTGGCATTTAATAGAAATGCAAAGCAGAAATTGCTTTAACACCAGTTGGTATTTTAAACCACATAATAAATTCACTGCTACTCTGTTCCATATCAATTAATAGCGTTAAACTTCTTTAATGTATTAACAAAGATGTCTTTCAGATATTAAAATTCACTTCAATTAAAATAGCAATGAGGCTTTAAACAGCCAGCATTTTAAAATTCACCTGATCTTTTCAGTCATTTCAAAAGGGCCTTTAACTAACACGTAACTGCCTCATAAAATTCAAATTGGAGGTGAAATTAAGCCAGGCACTTAACGAATATTGCTGCAGCATGTTTGACTCCAGGTGAGCGCAGAACACAACAGGCAGGACCAGCAGCAGCCCCAGCCCAGCGGAATGAACCCAAGAGCCACTTCAGGAGCTCGATTATTTTTTGACATGAGCTGCACTTGAAGCAGCTCCCTGCACAAATGGAAATGGAGAAAACCACTCAATATTTAACCTCAGGAGTGGCTCTGTGCTCACCCAGCACTTGCTGGGATTTGAGCAGGCAGGAAAAGCAAGAGGAGCACAGAGCCCTCTCTTAAGTGGCACTTGGTGACCTGGGAATAGAAAAGTAAAGAAAAAAAACGTCCCAGATTGCAAGGCAAGATGAATTTATTCTATTTGCCATTTGTATGGCAGCTGTCTCTTGTCAAATGGGCAGTTTTCCTTATCTCTTCCACACCCACACCTCCCTCAGGAGAGAGATCTGCTGATAAGAGGCC